TGTATACGATGAATCAGTTAAATAACCAGATGTTTGTACACAATTCCAAATATAATTAGATATCGATCTGAAAAACATCTATGAAATATGTGTGTCTGTTAACCACAATAGTCAGTCTGTTGTCCTAGCCAATTTGTCTCTTTATTTTCCTCCCTCCTTACCTGTATATTAATGCATGCATCTGGATTTGATTGTAGATACATTTCATTTAATCTAGTTAGAGGAAATCTTATTATTACAAGTAATTCCTGTTCCTATCAATTTTTTTATTGGATAATGGATATTGGTATACAAAATGACTTTATTTCTTCGGGCTTCATAGCAGCTTGACAACAGGTTGACATACTATTTCTCAAATGTCATAAACTTTTAGTACACATTTTATTCATCGGTATTCTTTTGACTCTTATAAGAAACTTGTAAAATCAACAGTCATGTGGTTTATTAATCAAGATCAAAATATTTATTCACAGAAATTTAATTCTCTGAATCAAAAACGAGTAAAAAATTACTTATTAGTCATGTTACCGATTCGAAAATGTATATGTTATTAGTTTATTACTACGTAACTCAAAAAATTATTGCGTAGTTTTTAGTAGTCACTACGGAATCAAAGCACTTCTGAGTATATGACCAGTTAATCATTCATGTATAGCTACTCTCGAATAATTGTTTGTAATATTTTTTTCACTGCAGACAAATCGCATTAAAAGAATGGAAATAAATTGAAGTATACAAATCATCTCTTTTACCCATGCCAATTTTAATTTTATAGTTCGTCATACAAACGATTCTTAGCAATTGTTTTTAGGCTAATGTATACTGAAAAACAGTGAACCAAATAAGACGAAACAAATGATGAATACACCTGTTCTGTTGTTGTTTACAACAGTTTTTCTTTTTCGTTTGTTTGTTAAAGATATTCATCAGGGCAGATACTTCAAAGTGGGACTATTTACATTTCAAATAAAAGTGAATCATATAGATGATTTACAAAAGCGATAATGAAAAGATAACTAAGCTAAATAAACTGTAAGAAAGAAGAAAGCAGTAAAGATTTTTGTCAGGGAATAAAAAAGTTCTTCCTTTTCTTCAAACACAACATAACAATCAGTAACTCGATGGATAATGCGTTGAGCGCTTGAAGGGAAAGTAACTAGATACGAGTCTAAGTGTATATATGAACACTGGAGAACAGATTCATCCAGCTTACGAAGCTTGAACAGAAAAGCACGTGAATCCTGGATTCCACCATAAGCCACTATTAAATTCACTTAAAATAGCGTAGAAAGGTGTTATTTTTGATTTAGTTGTCGGCAACTGGTGATATTAATAAAGGAAACCACTAAAAAATCAGGTTCTTTTGGATATTTATTTCATTCTGATGTTGTACTTGATGTAAGTGTGCAGACAAATGATTTGAAATACAGAGTCTTCTTGTTTCACTCTGGGAACGATACTAATAATTTGAAATACACTAATATTGCTTTCGTAATAAAGACTGAATGTCTTTGTGTTTAACCTGTTGGTGATCACGAGTGTAAAATCGTGAAAGGTAACAAATTAGAATATCTAGACTTCTTTTCTGACTCAAGTTTACACCCATTCACTAATTACTATTAATTAGCAATCAAAACTGCATTCGAATTATACTACATTTCAACTAAATAATATAAATCAATGAATAACTACTATTTATGATTACTTTGCTTTAGTACATAGACAAAACCTATGTTGTTAATGATAATAATAGTCAAAAATTATATTTTGTAAAAAATTATCTCTTATAATCATTCTTATTTGATGAATTGAAAAAAAAACGGTCATTTCTAGAAATCTGTATCTTTTCAGATGACATGACTAGAAAAACACATTGTAGAAACATTTTCATTTATCGTATAACATTTCGAATGCCTTACATGAATCGCTTTTGTTCCTGCTAATTGCTAAGTATTTCAATTTCGTAACAGTGAAGAGTCTTCTTCATATGATATCATGTAAATACTTAATGGTAGAGCAGGTTTTATATTTACATAATTTATTCAATATATTATTGAAAAAAAATTGACTTTCTCATTTGATTCACCGTCATTTAACTATTTAATAAATTTCATACACATATAGTTCCCTTTATTATCTTAAAAAGAGCAAGAACGAAGATTGGTGCAGAATAATATGAATTCATTTTATTTTCGTTAGGTTCTCATCAGCTGCTTACAACTTAAAATATTTAAAAATCAACGGTATTAGAGATATTGATATACTTATACAATAAGAAGGTGATTAAAGATGAATATTTGTACATTATGATGTAGCGAAGATTTCAATAGAATTCAATAAGGTCAATCAAAATTATTTGTTTCGAATAGATAAAATTTGGGATGGGAAGTCCCAAAACATTGAATTAGTAATTAAAACTTATAGAGTTAACAAACTTTAGATGATTGTGTAATATTTAATAAATATCCTAAAAAGAATTTAAAAAAAAGGTTACTGTTTTACTTTATATTCTTTGACTATTAATGAACTTTCATATAAACTAGACAGCTATGAAAACAAACTATGCGAATAACTAGAGACTGACATTAAAGAATATTATTATTATTGTTATTATTATTATTAACATAATAAATAGAATAATAATTTACTGTTTAACATGATTCACAAAGTTGACTTGATTTATGATATGTTCACATTTATCAAATTATATAAAAATGTCAAGCTTTATTCTTTTTGTTTTACTTTCTTATCATCATTCCCAAAAATCATATATACATTGTAATCAATGACTTGTGATACTATTCACAAATATTGTTTCAATTGGTGATCAATAATGTTTTTGTAAAAAATAAACAATATGTATTTGATCATCCGTATTGAATAGTTGAATAATCACTAGGATCCAAGCAAACAAAAATTTATTTATCTTAAAATTGTGCATAATACAAAAAATAACTTGATTACTAAATTATATCAATGATAATATCAGAAAGAACCCTACAAATAAAACTCTATTATGATCAATTGTTTTTGAAAGTTTGAAATTATATTTATCGGTACTGGGGTTTTTTTTAAAGTTGAATATGTTATTGTAGTTAAATAAATAAAATAAATAGATAATAACAAATATAAAAATTAATTTAGTTTTGTTTATTTTTGTTTTTTCTAAAAAGAAAAAAACTAACAATTGCATAATAAATAATAAGTTGATAAAGAGATGAATGATAATAAAATATAATTTAGTGATTGCTTTATGTTAAAGTATGGATTAGAATTTATTACAATGCCTAGTCACAATTCTAATGAATTACTTACAAGTTCTTATTTACATACGCCTGTTACCGATCGTGGAGGAGCATGGGCCGACCACCAGCAATCTCCATCCAACTCTGTCCTGGACAATCCTTTACAGTTGTCTCCGAGTTGTTTCCAGTTGCTATTCATTCTTTTAATCTCTGTCTCCTATTCTCGACGCAGTGTGTTGTTCAGTCTTCCTCTCTTCTGTTTCCCTTTAGGATTCCAAGCTAACGCTTGCTTCGTGATGCAGTTTGATGATTTCCTCAATGTGTGTCATATCCACTTTCAACATCTTTTCCTAATTTCCTCTTCTTCTTCTTCTTCTTCTTCTTCTTCTTCCGGAAGCTGATTTGTTCCCTCCCATAATAGGCTGTTGCTAATGGCATCCGGTCGATGGACATTGAGTATCTTGCGTAGATAATTGTTTATTATTACCTGTAAATTTCTGAAGATGGTTGTTGTAGTTCTCGAAGTTTCAGCTTCATAAAGTAGAACCATCTTGACGTTCGATTGAAGATTCTAACTATGCTGTTGGTTGACAGTTGTTTTGGGTTCTGTATGTCCCTCAATTGTACGAATGCTGCCCTTGCTTTGTCAATCCATGCCTTCCTATCCGCATCAAATCCTTTTTATTTATCAATGATACTATCCAAATACACGAAAATTTGCACCTATTCCAGAGAGCTTCTTCATCAAGTGTGATTGGATTTTTCTGTGTGTTGTATTTCAGGATCTTATTTTTTCCTTTGTTTATGTTGAGGTCTACTGATGCAGAGGCTGCTGCTACACTAGTTGTATTCATCTGAATTTGTTTGTGTGTATGGGATAGAAGGGCCAGGTCATCTACAAAGTCCAAATCATCTAGTTGATTTTGAGCTGTCCATTGTATTTCATGCTCTCACTCAGATGTGGGGGTCTTCATAATCCAGTCCACCACAAGAAGAAAGAGGAAGAAGGAGAGTAGACAGCCTTACTTTTAAGTAATTAAATATAAAAAACCACATGAATAGAATTATAGATGAAAACTAAAACTACACGTTATAGATTCTTGATTATATTAACTCGAATATAAATGGTCATAATGACCAAAATATTAAATCCTCAAGTCCACCATTTAATGAAATAAAAACAAATTCCTTACAATAATCATTTCATTTTTTACCCGACTAATGTAGATGAGTACGTTGGAAACTTTTAGAATTGAATATATAATTCTGGTTTCATAACTTATACTATTTTATACAGTATGAAAATAATGAATTAATATTGTAGTGAACGACAACTTAGTTGGGGAAAATCGAACTATTGTTTTACACAAAATTACACAGTGGTTTTGTAAAATATGAAAAACATGCATTAAATACATTATTTGTATATCTTCTTTCACTTGTCTATGACATAGTTCATGATTCTTCAAATTCTTTTATTGTTCCAACTGTTCTCTGTTTCCCTTTCTGTTCTCTTCAATTTAATCCTATTCGGGTAAACATTCCACTTCCGACTGGTGTTACATATTACTTATATCTATCAGTATAAGCAACGTGCACCATAATATGAGCTATTTCAAGTTAAATTTCATAAAATCCACTTTGATTACTACCAATGATAATAAGGCTACTCAAAAATTAATTAGTGATATAAAATCATTCGGAATTTGTTACTACGTTTAGTGTCAGAAATTCCTTTTGTTTTCTAACTTTCAGAATTTCATCGTTCGTGTAAACCAACAAAATTCAAGTATGGTACTTACTCGTGTTTGTCCACCAACAACAGCGATTCGTTCACTCAATAAAACTAACGGTTTTTTACATGCTAATCACAAAGACTACTTTGAAGACAACCACAACAAAAATCAACATCAGAATGTTTATTTACCAATTAAACATAATTTGATTGAAATACTTCCTCATGATGGTTATTGTTTGACTGGAGATAAGAAAATGCGTTTAATATTCAAAAGTTTGATACATTTATTAGAATTCTATTTACTTGTTCAAGTAAGGTAAGTCAATATTGGTATATGGATTTGTGGCGATTGTAGTATGGGTCGATTAACTTTAGACATTAATACCGTTAAATTCTGACTCAGTGGTCTAGAGGTTAGGCGTTCGTGCTCGGGACCAGAGGTCCTAGGTGCTCCTAGGTGTTGAGGAGTCCCGTACTAGGACGAGACAGCCGTCCGCTGCTTTCGGATTTCCAATGATGGTCTAGCTTAGACTGACTCGTGAATTCAACTGTTAAAGTCAATATTTATTATCATGTCACTAAATTTTGTCGATTATTCGCGCTGCGATCTGATATCAATTAGGGAGTTATTGTTGTTGTTGGTTGGAACTCTTGATTAATGTGTCTGTCACAGCACATGGAGTCAAGCGCACGTCTGTATTGCTTACCAATCTGGTCTTGTAATGATCCATCTGGGATTGCAAGACCATATCATCTGTCCAGGATGATCTGAGACGCTATTATCTTTTTTGTCTAGAAGTGTCTATTGTCAGTATAATTGGAGATTTCATTGAGATTAAGTTCAAGTGTATTAGCTTTCAGTTAGGTCAGCCCATGCAACTTGTTCATTACAAAGTATATGTGTTAGATAAGACAATCTAGAATCGTTATACTTTTCTTAAGGTTCATAAGTTATGATCTAACTGCAATTTGCTCTGGTAGAAGAGATACAAACGGCAGTATTTGAATGAAGTGGATAGATTTCACCTGATGCAATAAAGCTCACCACTTGTTTGCAAAACTTCAAATATCTATCTACAGCCACATTCATAATGACGTCAAAAGATTCTTCATTTACCCCAATAATTCCATTGTGAATATGAAGCGGCACGGAGTGAAGTGCTACTAAAATTATAAAAAGACAATAAGACAGAAATAATAGAATAAACTTGTGAGATAAGTGGTTTGTTGCAACAAATATACATTTTTATCAGTTCATAGTCTGTAAAAATGTTTGATAACAACCGAACTACTGAGTGTCAATAAGTAGCATAGCATGTAACATAAAAATGGAGAGCAATCCAATTTTCATTGGGATGCTGGTACATCCATCTGATGATTCTCAAATAGGAGAAAGTTCGCGTCTTGAATTCCAGTTAACGCCACAATCCATCCCTTTCATAAATTTTGTATATTTCTTTACCGATAAAAGTTGTAAAAACTCACCTATGTAATCTACTTGTTCTTACCATTTCTTTAATGATTAAGGCTATAAACCTAAAATTAATTGTGTAAAGGATTTTTAGATTAAATAATTCGTCCAATAAAACAGTCTAACCACTCCTTCTGAGTCTTTTACTTACTTCTTTCCTGATTTTCTCATTCTGTCAAAAAGTAATCGTGGATCATTCCTTCGTTTACCATCGGCAATTTGTCAAGCGAAGACTATTCAAGAACTTGACCAAATTAATAAACAAGGGATACGTAAGTAACATATTTTTTACGAATACAACTGTAACAATGCCAGTTAGCACTACTTCATAAATTGCATTATTATGTTAATAACAATATAAATTGTTGCCTTATGTCATGCTGAAACATAATTTATATCTCATTTTTATTCTTTATTACTAAGTGATGATTAAGAAAATTCAATCTGGGGAATCATTTTGAATCCAAACTAAAAAATAGATATTCGTTAACAAAGTAATTATTACCATGAGTTTTTATGCCGAAAACTATCAGATGAATCCTGCATCCATCTGATCAAGTGAATAATAGCACAAATGACTTTGTTCAGCTTTTTAAATGTGTTGTACGCGGTCACTAAACTTAACTTAATTAGAAACAAACATAACAGTTTAGGTGACCAAATTGTTAAGGGTTATCTCCTTACACAAAATTACAAACTAAATAACTTACTTACTTACGCCTGTTACCGATCGTGGAGGAGCATGGGCCGACCACCAGCAATCTCCATCCAACTCTGTCCTGGACAATCCTTTACAGTTGTCTCCGAGTTGTTTCCAGTTGCTATTCATTCTTTTAATCTCTGTCTCCTATTCTCGACGCAGTGTGTTGTTCAGTCTTCCTCTCTTCTGTTTCCCTTTAGGATTTCAAGCTAACGCTTGCTTCGTGATGCAGTTTGATGATTTCCTCAATGTGTGTCATATCCACTTTCAACATCTTTTCCTAATTTCCTCTTCTTCTTCTTCTTCTTCTTCTTCTTCTTCCGGAAGCTGATTTGTTCCCTCCCATAATAGGCTGTTGCTAATGGCATCCGGTCGATGGACATTGAGTATCTTGCGTAGATAATTGTTTATTATTACCTGTAAATTTCTGAAAATGGTTGTATTAGAAAAGGGGGAAAGCAAGCAGCCTTGTATATCTCCAATCCTCACCTCGAATGCATCTGTCTGCTGTCCTGCATGCATCAATTTACAGTGTAGTCCATCGTATGAATTCTGGATGATGTTGACAATTTTCTCAGCCGCTCACTCCGTAGTGTCTCAGAATTTTCCATAATGTTCTCCTTTCCACACTGTCAAATGTCTTCTTATAGTCCATGTAGTTGACATTATACTGACAAGTTTCATTCAATTGATTGTTCAACGATGAACCTTAGTGTTGCGATATGGTCTGTGCACGACCGATCCTCATGGAAACCAGTCTGTTGATCTCGAAGCTGGACGTCTACTGAATTTTTAATCCGGTTTAGCAAACCTGTGTTGGGAACTTTTTCCGGCACTGATAGTAGTATGTTGCCTGTGTAGTTCTCGCACTTACTCAGATCTCCGTTCTTTGGAATCTTGATCAGGTGTCCTCCCTTCCAGTCCATCGGCACTTGTTCTTCCTCCTAAATCTTCCGGAATAGAACGTGGGGCATGTTTGCACCTGCTTCTATGTCTTACTTTAGTGAATCAGCTGGTATATTGTCAGGTCTAGCTGCTTTCCCACTCTTGATTTGTCTGATGACCATCCTGATCTCTGCGTTCGTTGGTGGAGTGACATCTGTAGGAAGGTCTGTTTGTGCTGCTTCGATGTCTGGTGAATTTAGCGGAGTTGTCCTATTTACGAGTTAAATTACTAATACGTAACATTATTCTTCTATGTATTTCTACTTTTAGAAATAAAAGTCAGATGTATAACGGTCAATGCTTTGCAATATCGAACTCAACAACTATCCTCCATCCCTTCCAATATATAATATCCTAGGTATTCTTAACGCATCGTTCAGTTAGAAATGTACCGATTACTTTCCGTCGTTAATGATTTGGAGTGGTGAAGACATTGTAGCTCAGAGGGATACATTTAGTGAGACTAAGTTCTTTCAGTTAGATTATTCTAGTAGAAACCTTGATTTAAGAAACTTTGTTGTTGCTCAGCATTATATTAAAAGTTTCACGATTAAACCAGTCAGTTTAGAAAATGTAACATCACTAAAACACTGATCAACTTCCAAATTCTCATTGGATTTGTAAGAATACGTGACTGTTCTTGATTATATGTTCTAAATCAATACTGGCAACTTTATAAATTCACCAGTATGACGTAGTAGTCAGTATACGATGATGTCTCTTCAGGTGTTCTTTTAAGACTCAGTTTTCATATTAATCAAACTAACTGTGATTATTTTTTGAAATGTCTAACTTATGGATTTTTTTAATGTAAGCTGGATACACAGTAAATTATATTTATTCGTCATGAGTTTAAAACAAACAGTTATAGTGTCTAGTTCCCATTTTCTCATCCTGTCATATCCACCAATTGAATCAGCAAAGATCAGTAATAATGATTCAGCTTAATTCAGTCTCAGAGACATCATGCTGTCAAACTGAATAATTATTAAGCAACATCAAAATGTCAATGTCTATTAGTTTAAATAGTATGTAATTTATCAAAAGTGGTTTGAATTATTCCTCTGTTGATATTCTTGACTGAATTTAGATCAGTTTTTGTTGGCCCATTTACATTCTGCCCGAAATCACTTCATATAGTCAACTTCGCTTAAGTTTCATCCGAAACAAATGGATTATAACGATTAAAGTTAAGTCCGGAATATCAGCAATCGCATTATTTAAGCCGTTCTTTGTAATAATGGTACAAATATCACATCTATTGCACAAATGCTCGGGTATTTGTATAAATTAGCTTTGTTAATAACACGTCGTTTAAAGCGAAAAGTATTATTTTCGATTCCCAATGTAAACGTCAACACTAGGCTAAATGCACATGCAACCGACGGGTCCCTAATAACGTGAAACGTGCATCGTAAATCCTATCACTAAGCACAATCCGTATATTCTATATAAAACAAGTAATTTATGCAGTACATACGCGAACTGCGATCTTGAATCTGTCTTTGAGATTTTAAATGCATCAATCTCATTCTTTTCAAAATACCCCCTATTTATGATAATGTATATATGTCATCTCCGCCTCCGTTGTTCAGAACATCCTTGGAAGTTATCTTGAATCGCATTCTTGAATGAGTTCTTTCACTTTTTGCCGCCTATTCTTTGCTGTGTGATTTCAGCTTAATGTCGTACTCATTGAACTACGTTTCAGTTTTGTTGATCAGGCGTTAGAAGCTTTAAAGACGACTTTCGTACATAATTTTTATAGTCACAAATGTTTTCTCCGAATTATGTGGACAGATTACTTTCTCGAATTTAATTCATCAGTGACCGTCTAGACAGTGAATTGGAGCGACAGAACAAATCAGATATTATTATCAAGATAACTGACTTTATTTGTTGAACATGCCATGTATAAATAAGATTTATAAGATATTTTATATACCATTCACATACTAACGTAATGAAACAAAGCAAGATAATGAGTTTTTTTCGAAATAACAATCAATACTCAACAAATTAGTAAGATTCACTTTAGCCTACAAATGCATTTTACATTTAATCTTATTTTATGCTGTTTTCCCTTCCAATGTTATACAGTTGTAACTCACCCTCATTATCATCATCATCATCATCATCATCATCATCATCATCATCATCATCATCATCATCATCATCATCATCATTACCTAATTAAGACTAAATGTAATTGTGTATAATGTATAAATATCCACAAAAATAGAGAGAGACATAATATTCACTTAAGTGCAATTACAAACCCAAATATTTTGTCATTGTGCGAAATAAATTATTTGGAAATCTGAGACACCATCTGGAATAGATGATTTGAAATCCATTCATTGTCTAGTTTATGGACAGAAATATGACATAAATGATACATGTTTTTTTTTTCTTGTTCAGCATTATGAAATCTTTATAATTCGGAGAAAATATAATGCCCATAAGAATTTACAGGTGGAAATGCTATTATCATTTATAAATGTTACCTTTTATCGATTACAGTAAAAATATCAATTTCTGTATGACCATAGGATCAAATTACTTGTGGGATTTGTATGTATTCATTTCTCAATATGGTAAAGATTTTTACTTTGAAAATGCTTACTGTTTATATATGTGGGTGTATTAAGACCCTATCATCAAGTGTAGACGTGAGAAAGTATATCAATGAGTTATCCATGTTTCTAAATGTATATTGCACAATCAAACTGTACAATTTAATTTTGTGATAGATATTTGGGTTAAGCTTTAAGACTAAGAGTTAAAAGTAAGAGTTAGGGTATTAAATTAGGGTCACAGTTTTCATCATAAACTGACATTGACTGTAATTCAGGAATGCTATTTAGATGAGAGGATAACCATCGTTTTTCAATGCTCAATATAGGTGCGAATTTTTCTGTTCAGTACTGCTCGTATGCGTTTATTTTTACTGGGGGCTTTATTTAAATAATCTGAAGGCATCTAAATATATTTTCTGTAAACAAGCCACTGCACCACATCCCAGCTTGGCTGATATAAAAGCAAACGAAACGAAATTTGGAGCTCAAAATTAAAACCTCAGTAAAGATTATGCTTTGGTACGCAGTATCTACTCACTAGATAGACCGAAAAATGATATTGCACACATGTTGAAAATTTAAAGGTAGATGCTCTATAAATTCATATGCACGTATCGTATTTCTTATGTAGCCATATGGATGACCGAATTTTGAGCAAACATCCAAGGGGCACTATCTTAAATTTGATCAGTTTGACCTTTATATGTTGGCTAACCTTGAAACTATTAACTGATCAATTAATAATTGGTAGACAGTAATGATTCATGATAATAAAACCAAAGATCGAGCATATATCAATCTGTGAAAATTAGTTAATTTAAGATTGTTTATCACGTCTACAATGATGTGTCAAGCAATGTAGAATCCACTATCGAGAAAGTTCAGCATATGAATGATCCAACATTTTCTATATATACTGAAAAGAGTTCTTCAATTGTCATTTGATTTTTATCTTTTAGTGGTTTTCGATGTTGAGTCTACATTGTATAAATAAAAGAATCGCCTATATACCAATAGGATATGTTTAATTCACCCAGTTTCTTAAACATTCAGGGCAAATAAAATCATATTGCGAAAAATTTAGAGTTATGAAAGAAACACAATCA